TCACCGTGGCAGCAAAAACAAGGCGGGGATGGTGCCAGCACTGGGGGGGCACTGCGGGCAGTGAAAGTCAAGGGGCGGGTGAGGGGGGTCTGCAGGGGAAGGGCTTTGGGCAGGGCAGGGTCCTGCTCTGCTGGGCACCCACTGGGGAGGAGCCTCAACTCCCCTCTCTGCTTCGAGCAGAGCTCAAAAAGCCATCCCAGATTTACCCCTGTTGAAAGGGGATTTTTTTAACTGCCACCTTCTCCTCAGTGTTCCAGGGAGGGGTTGTCCCAAAGGAACCTCAGAAAGCTCTTCCATCTCTCCCTCCAGTGCCCTCTCCGGGGTTTTCCCCGCTGCAGCTCCACTGAGGAAGGACACTTCAGTTTCCCATGCACTCAGCTTTCCTGGCATGGTGGCAGAGCTTCCCCGTGATCCACTGTCCTGGGGATCTCACCAGGAACAGCTTGGCTGCACAGCCAGAGCAAAGTCCAGAGCACAGCATGTGCTGAAGGACAGGAAGGGGTTCCTGGAGGTGTTCAGGTGTTCAGGCACGTGATGGCTCTTTCCATGGGAATGTATTGAGCAAAGATGAACAGTGGCCTGGCTCCTTCCCTCCTGGACAATGTGAGACCATACACCAAAAATCAGTTTCCATGAATACTTGCAGAGCAGGAGATGGCTTCAAACAAGGCGTGTTGTGCCGTAGATCATGGAATCATGGAATGGAAAGGACCTTAAAAATCATCCAGTTCCAACCTCCTGCTGTGGGCAGAGACACCTTCCACTATCCCAGGTTGCTCCAACCTGGCCTTGGACACTTCCAGGGATGGGGCAGCCACAGCTTCTCTGCCCAACCTGGGCCAGGGCCTCACCACCCTCATTGTAAAAACATCTTCCTTTGTTTTGTGTTGGGGATCCCACAAAAATTCCTTCTGTCTGTGGGCTCATGTCTAGACACGTGGATGTGGCACTTGGTTATAACTGTGTTGACCTTGGCAGAGCTGAGGGAACAGTTGGACTTGGTGCTCTTGGAAGGCTCTTCCAACCCAAACGATTCCATGGTTCGATGTAACACAACTCGTCCGGGCATCGGAACAAGGTTTGAGCTGAAGGGGCTTAATCAGTCAGGGAAAGAGGATTTTCTTCACCAAAAAATGAAGCTGAAACACAAGACCTTTGGGAAGCTTTAGGGAATTGTTGGTTTGAACATGATCCTGCAAGTGTAGCTGGGCTGGGAGGTGACTGTGACAAAGGAGATGCTGGAGAAGGCAGGTGGGATCCTGCCAGGAACGGCTTAGAAAGAGCTGTTTGGTTCAGCCTGTGGAGTTACAAGGGCAGGGGGGGCTGGGGGGTCTGGGGGGTGTTGGGTGTGTCCATGCTAAAGGAATGAGCTCATCAGCCCTCTCAGAGCTGTTTGCATATGGACAAATGTGTTTATACACACACAACAGTTCACCCAGAGGGATTTCGGAGCCCAACCCAGCACTTCCTCATGTTCCCCTGCCTTATCTCTCTTCCCCCTGCCTGGCTCTGCTCTGGCTCCCTCTGACCCCCAAGGTTTGTGGGTGTCCCTTCTCCCCTCACACAGTGAAAAAGTGGGAGCACTTAGTGAAGGTGAAGAGCATTAAAAATAAATATTGTTTATAATATTGCAACATCAGCCTGGGACAGGGCTGCAGGCTCTCGCCATGCACAGATCCTTCCTTGCCCAGAGACCCACTTTCCCAATTAAAAAAACCTTTTTTCCCCATTTTCTTAAGCCTGTAAAAACAGAGGGTAAAGGCAAAAAAAAAAAAAAAAGGCATTTTTAACAGGAGGGAACAGAAGGCAGACAACGTCTCCACGTGATAAAATTTTATTACAAAATATGAGATGGATTAATAGTCGCAGGGGAGTTTGGCAGGGGAGAAGGAGTTCTGTAACAAACACAGCATCACCAGCGAAATAAATCTTCCACCCAAGTTCTCCAGGGCCCCAATTTCTTTCACATTGTGTTCATCTTGCACAGAAAAGGATCACCTTGAATCCACAGCCCCACAAAGCCACACCGTGCTTTTTTTGCCTATTTACAGCGATTTTCTCTCCGTTATCATACAGAGACCAGGCCCCACCTCCTGGCCTTCCATCAGCTCCTTGGAAAGCTTTTCCTAAGTCCCTGTCACCCCAGTGTCCCCTGGGATTGGGGATGGAGGCTGGGATCACCACAAGGTTCCCGTCTCCCCGCTCCCCTTCTCCCCGTCCTTCTCCCCAGAAACAGCCATGAAAATGCCATGAAATGCCATAAAATGCCATGAAAGGCAAACCTAAAGCTGTCCACTTCTGTACATATAAAAATAGAGAAATAAAAGCCAAGGCTTGCTGTGGTTTTCCTCTTTTTTAAAAAAAAAGAAAACACCCCAAGTGTTGCCTTTGCATAGCCAAGCATTTGCATGGCAGCACTTTGCATACAGAGCAGTGGGGCTGGGCTGGGCTGGGGTGTTAAGACACTTCTTCCTCTGCCCCCCCCATCAAATTTAAAAAAAAATATATATATTTATATATATATACACAGAGAGAGGACAAGGAGGTGCATTTTTTTTCTTTAGTGAAAACAATAAAAAAAAAAGATTATCAGGAAAATTATTTAAAATTTCAAGCTGCCTGTTGGTTGGTCTGGCTTTGGAGTGGTTTTTAGCCCCCCTCAGAATCACAGCAGAGCTTTCCTTCTCCAAAAAGCAGAGGGGGGCAAAGGGACCCCTCTGAGAGGGCCAGGGGTGGGGGTGACCCCCCGACAGCGGGGGGACCCCGTGCCTTGTGCTTTAGCTCAGGCCTTGAGGAGGTTCAACCACAAAAGGTGCACCAAAAAGCCATCTTGGAGCGTGGAGGTTGGGATTGCAGCCATGGGAGCTCCTGGGGGACGTGGGGACACAGGTTCCCCGTGCCAGGGCTCACCCATGGAGGGGCTGAGCTGTGCCAGTGGAGGGAGTGGAGCTCAGCAGGTCCCAGCATGGCCATGGGGGTCCCCACCAACCTCACCAAGCCAGCCTGAGCTTCCTGGAGACACCCTGAGCCTCCTGGAGACATCCTGAGCCTCCTGGAGACACGGGTGGGGGACTGGCAGAGGCATCTCCACACTGTGCTGAAATTCCTTTGGGATGAGCTTGTCCGGGCCGCTCCACCACTGCTCTCCAAGAGGCTTTTCCATCATCAGAGACCTTCCCTGGGGCTCTCCAGATCCACCTCCCAGGCACAAGGCAAGAGGTAAAACTGTCCCCTGTGGTTCTACCTTAGCAGGGAGGGGGTGGCACCGCAGGTCCAACCTCCCAGGTGAGCTCAGGTCACAAGAAGGAGCCCAAGTCATGGGGTTGGCATTGGCAAGGTCCTGCCCTGTGCCCAGAGAGGAGCCAGAGCCCACAGCCAACAAGGGACATGGCCAACGAGCCCCTTGGCCCCACGGCCAGCCAATCCTCATGGAGCTGCCACGACAAGCAACGGAAGAGTTGGAAAAGGGATTGGAAAAAGCACTTGGAGGTCCATCCACGTGGTCAGCTGGGTGTGAGCCAGGCCCTCCGACTTTCACTTGAGCTCGGTGTCAAGAGGTTGCTGATGTCAGACCCTCCAGCCCTGGTGCTGAGGGCTGGAAAGCCCTTCCCATGCACCATTGGAAAAGCCACCTAAGCCACCTCCAGCAGTTCCATGGCCTGACATTCCCACCCTGCCTGAGAGCCAAAGAGCCACCCCAAGGGCTCACAGCAGCACTGGGCCATCAGCCGTGGGCACATCACCCACCTCAAAGCCTACACCACACCACGGACCCCCACAGATCCTCCCTGCCCTCCTCTCCTGCCACAGGTGCCCCTCAGCTTTATTTATCTGAGGAAAAGCACGAGCAGGACCCCAAGGATGGGCTGTGGCTCCTGTGCAGTTTGACACCAGCAGAGAGGAGTGGCCTCCACATTCCCACCACTCAAAGATGCCCCAGTTCAGCGTGGCCTCTCATCCCACACTGCAGACACACATCAGGCCACGGGGCACCTAAATTTGTTCGAGGAGAAATAAAAGAGGAGGAGGGTGTGAGGAAAATCAATATTCAGTTGGACACACCAGGCCCATTATTTGTTCTTGATTTATTTATGACCCACACAGCTGCTGTTGGAACTGGCAGGGCCTGACTCTTGTCCTGCCCAAATTTAACCCCTGGTAGGCTTTGGAGAGCGGGTGATGTGCCCCATGTGTCGTGGCACCCCACAGCAAGGGGGGGAAGGTGCTCACAGAGCCCGAGGTCATGAACTTGTGAGGTAGGTAAATGTGATTACAATCTGAACAGGAGGATTTATTGGAATTTGTTTCAAAGATGCTTTTTTTCTATTTTTTTCCCTCATCTGAAGGTGATGAAATGGCAACAGCACAGGCCTGGTGTGATCGGCGACCACAGAGTCCTTGTGTGCATCTTCTGGAGAAAGGCACCACCGGTGTCTTCTGGGAAAACAGACCTTCATCAGTGGCTTTTTGGGTGGCTTCAAACCCATGCCGGTCCTCCCAGAGACACCTGAAGTCAAAATTCATCTTGGAAGCAGAAATGCTAAGGACACAACCGAAAAACCTCGCCAAGCAGGGCAGGTGTTTGCTGAGCTGAGCTGCTGCCAGGAAACCACAGCTGGGTTCAACAGGACACAGGTGGGGCTTCTGTCACCTGCTTTTGTGCTGTCCCTTGCTTGAAGGCACGTCAGGTGAGTATGTCATAGGTCTTCTCCTCTTATGCCCCCACAGAGACTGGGATTGTCAACCCAAACAGCCCTGGGCACGTGCTCCTGTTCTCGCACGGCAGAGGTGCCACCTTCATGGTCACACCATGGGGCAAAGTGTCACATCCATGGTCACACCATGAGACAAGGGGTCACACCATGGGACAAGGTGTCCCATCCACGGTCACTTCATGGGACAAGGTGCCACATCCATGGTCACACCATGGGGCGAGGTGCCACATCCATGGTCACACCATGGGAGAAGGTGTCACATCCATGATCACACCATGGGAGAAGGTGTCACATCCATGGCCATGCCATGGGAGAAGGTGTCACATCCATGGCCATGCCATGGGGCAGTCCAAGAGGGTCCAAGCTGCTGACCCGTCGCATCCCTCCTGGGCCTCACCAAAGGTACCACCCTGGAAGGGGTAAAAAAACCATCCCAAAGAACTTGAGGCACGAAGGACAGTTGCTCCTGAGTGACAAATAAATAGCAGGTTTGCCAGAAGAAAGCCCTTTGGAATCCAAGGTCTGTCAGCCCAGTGGCACCGGGAGCCTCGTCAGGAGATCAGTCTGTAATTAGAACTCATTGTAAACGAGCCGGTTGGGGTTTTAATTTCTTTTAAAACCAGAAAGAGTCGGGGACAGGCCTGGCAGGGGGTTCACCTGCCATCCCTGCCCTGCCAGTTGATCACAGCGTGGGTTTGTTCCTATGTACAGCACGAGGGGAGGCCCCTCGGAGGAGGAAAGAGTTCCAGCTGCTCTTGGAGAAGTGTGGGAAGGAGGCAGCTCCTAGTTCTGGTGCCTCTTCATGTGCAGGGCCAGGTGGTCGGAGCGGGAGAAGCAGCGGCCGCAGGCGAGGCACTTGAAGGGCTTGGCCCCCGTGTGCTTCCGATAGTGCCGGGTGAGCTCGTCGGAGCGGGCGAAGCGCCAGTCACAGCCCTCCCAGGTGCACTTGTAGGGCTTCTCACCTGCGGGGGACAGCCACAGGTCACGGGCACAGCCTCCCAGAAACCCACCCCGTCCCCTGGGAGACACCCAACTTCCTCAGGAGAACCAACGGGGGCACCCTGGCACTGCCAGGGCTCGCCCGGAGTCACCGCGGGCATTGTGGACTGCTGAGCTGCAGCAGCCTCGTCTTGCCCCTCTTCTCCCTGCTTCCACTTTGCTTTCTAGGCTTCTTTTCATGTCCCCCTTTGCTTTCTAGGCTTGTTTTCTAGGGCTGCCCGTGTTCCTGTTGCATTTTGGAGCATTTCTGGCTTAAAAAACCCCAAACTTCTGAGTTTGTTGGGGTTTTTTTAAATGAAAAGTCAGGAATTCCTAAGGAAGGTGGTGCTGCCCATACAGGTGGTGGGGAGCATGAGAAGGAAGACAGGGATTACAGCACTGACGTTTTTTTGAGACCACCACCCAGGGATGGTGGCTGTCCCATGCCTAGAATTGTTCAAAGACAGGCCTTGGAGCAACCTGGCCTAGTGGAAGGTGTCCCTAAAGTCCTAGCTGACCTCCAAAGATCCCTCCCAACCCACACCACTCCTTGGTTCCATGATCTGAGAATGTTGCCCAGCTGCTTCTGGCAACTTGAGGGCTCCTGTCTCACCAAAGCGGAGATCAGAAGAGTGCCCCATCCACTGCCAACGTTTGCTGGCACCAAAATGGGTGAAGAATTAAAATTTTTCCTTTTCCCCCGGGGAACACTCCGTCTTCCTCTCCCAAACGCCCGTTTACAGGTGACATGAGGTGTGTGGGGTGACCTTGGCTGGCCACCAGGTGCCCACCAAGCTGCTCCACTGCTCAGCAGCAGGGGGAGGGAGAAAATAAGCTAGAAAAAAACCCTTTGTGGGTCAAGATAAATGGAGTTTGATGTTGGAGAATATTTTCTCCAGGCTGAGCCCCCCCGCAGCTCCCTCAGAAGTTCTCCTTGTGCTCCATTCCCTTCCCTGGACACGCTCCAGCCCCTCAGTGTCTCTCTGCCTCGAAGTTCACCCGGGAGTAGCTCTGTACACAACACATTGTGTTTTCCTCGGGGTGATGTAATGCTTCTGCCCTCCTCCCTCCCTCTCCCTCCCTCCCTCCCTCCCTCACACACCTATTTTCCTCAACTGAAACCCATTAAATCACGCAACTCCTGGGCCAGCTGGGAACTGGGCTGGAAAAGCCCGTGGCCGCTTCCAACCGCCTGCGTGCCCGGGTTGTGGAGCTTGAACCCTGGCTGCAGCCCTCTCCACGCAAGGGTGTGGCGCTCTCAAATATTAGCCCTCGCTCTTAACAGCCTGAACAAGCAGGCAGAGTTCAGGGAATGTGCTGACTTTCCCGACCTCAAATATTTACCGTCGCAGCGGCCAATTGCCGCGCGCGGCGTCGCGGCCCAGCGCACGTACGCCCGCGCCCGGCGTGCACAGGCATGTGTGCCCCGCTCTCACACGCTCCCCACGCAGCGGCTCTGCCTTCCCCGCAGCCCCTGGGCCTGGCACAGCCGGGGGATCGTGCCGTGGATCAGGTCAGAAGGCACCTCAAAGCTCGTCTCGT